TATCACACACACATTAAATAAGATCTCTATGGTGTCAAAAATCCCTGATAAAAGATCATGAGAATTGTTTTTGGCGCTTCATTTTGACTAATGGTGATGTGATGATGATGAATTTTACTAAAAGTGTAATTTCTGACCATCTACAGGTACCATTTCCTCAAATGTTCTCACCTCAGCTCCAACCATGGCGTGGCTGAGGTGGCCCTCAGCCCTTCCCCTCCACCTTTCAAAACAGATCTGTGCCCTTCCATGGGTATGACATTAAACTCCATCGAGTCGGCTCCTGATGTATGTCTTAGTGACTGCTGTTTGTTTTTAGGATGTGATCTGGTTTTTCATGTCCATTTTTCGTCATTATGACTATTCTGGATAAAGAATGTTTTGAGCAGAGGTGGATTCAAGGCCCCACCCCCCCACTTCATTTTTTAAGGAAAAAAAAGAAAAACATATTCAAATTGAAGTGCGAGATTGTAATTTCCGGCCGTCTGGATTGCCCAAGTGACCTCAAAATTTCATCCATTTTACTTGTTGACACCGTCCAAAAAAGCTGTGAAACTTTAATTCAAAGTAGAGGGCGTCCACTTGAGTTGCACTGCCATTGGAGTTTTGCATTGCCACCAAAGTTTTGCACTGTGACTCTCAATTTTGCACTGTGACTCTCAGTTTTGCACTGTGAGTCTCAATTTTGCACTGTGACTCTCAGCTCTGCACTGTAACTCTCACTTTTGCACTGCGACTCTCACTTCTGCACTGTGACTCTCACTTTTGCACTGTGACTCTCACTTTTGCACTGCTGACTCTCAGGTTTGCGCTGCTGACTCTCAGTTTTGCGCTGTTGACTCTGTGTTTTGCACTGTGACTCAGTTTTGCACTGACTCTGTGTTTTACACTACTCAGTTTTGCACTGTGACTCTGTGTTTTAATTCAAAATAGAGGGCGTCCACTTGAGTTGCACTGCCATTGGAGTTTTGCATTGCAACCAACGTTTTGCACTGTGACTCAGTTTTGCACTGTGACTCTCAGTTTTGCACTTGTGACTCTCAATCTTGCACTGTGACTCTCAGTTCTGCACTGTGACTCTCACTTTTGCACTGTGACTCTCACTTCTGCACTGTAACTCTCACTTTTGCGCTGCTGACTCTCAGTTTTGCACTGCTGACTCTCAGTTTTGCGCTGCTCAGTTTTGCGCTGCTGACTCTGTGTTTTGCACTGTGACTCTTTGTTTTACACTACTCAGTTTTGCACTGTGACTCTGTGTTTTGCACTGCTGGCTCTCAGTTTTGCGCTGCTGCCAATTGTATTTTGTCCTTTTGGCGTTCCATACTTGTGAGCAAGTGCGTCAAAGGAGTGCTATATCTACACATAACTTCGCTTCCGAGTGTTTCCTGATTGTGCAAGTGACAAAAAAGTAGCTACAGTATTTAAATGTGTTGTTCTTTGTTATGTTTGTTGCATTGACCCATAAGTTTAAAAGCACTGTGTAGGCTTATTGTAATAGTGTATTCAAACATCACCATGGTATGGCAATTTGTAGGCCAACCTCAAACCCTATGCTGAAAATTACACTCCATCGACGGTAGTTCAGTGGACCCACCCCCACTTATTTAAATGGCTGAAGGTTGAGCCGAGATACACTAAAAGAAAACCTCAACGAAGAAATAAATTAAAAGACCATATTATTGGTAAACTATTAATTCAGCAGGGATGAAAGAGAATTTCCCACCCCATCCCCCCCCCCCAAAAAAATCCCCAAAAAAGAAAAACCACTGCGGAGAAAAAAATGATATGCACTTTCTACATTAGAAATATAAAATCAATTAAATAAACCTCTGAAACCCACATAGTCATATTTCTTCGGTGGCATCGCTCCCTGGACCTTTTTCGGTATATTTTGAACGATGCCCGACCAGGCCCACCCTAGCATATTCAAAACCCTAGCATATTCAAAACCCCCCTGAAATTATTTTAACTTTCTCTCCCCTCCCCAAGCCCCCCTCAAAAAATAAAAAATAAAAAAAAAATCAGACTCTGGCAGTGGCACCGCCACTGTTGAAAAAGATTAAAGGAAAATGAGCACGAATGAACGAAGTTCAACTATAAGTTGAAAGTATCTATCCAGCCAATTTTTATAAAGTATTAAGTTCAACGACTGTAATAATGATCCAGAAAGTGAAAACATTGTTTTTATTCCGTATGATTGTTTAATGCTTTACCTTTTACAGTACAGAAACGAGAAAGTTTATAAGGTATGTTATTTAAACACATGTTTCACGACAGTATATATTAATAAGAATGACTACATGCTATCAAATCTATAGCACTACCTGAGCTGAAAAGAGAATTTAAAAAAAAAACACTCACTATATACCAATTTTTTTATCAATATAAATTGCATTGAATACTTCGTGATTCACACGAGATAAATATTTTTAAGGCTTTAATAATGTTCTATTCGATTAGAAAACACAAAGTTATATTCTAAACAATACAATTACATTTACTTCAGAATTTAATTTTTTTAATTAAAATAAAATCGTACTTGAAAAAAAGCCAAAAGGTAAAAAGTACAAAAGAAAAACTACAAATTTTCAATATAATTAAACAAACCTATGGAAAAAATATGTTGCAGATACCAGAATATGAAATTTGCAATAGTTACGAGATTTATCTGAATTTCAGTAACCTTGAAATCAGTTTAGAAATTGATGGGTTGTTTGCACGGTCTTCTGCGAGTTACAAAACATACAGACGAGACTTTAGGTTAATGCATGTGTATTTTGGTTTAAAGAAGTAGCGGTATGCAAAGCCGTATGATCTTAAGACGCTGCAAGTTAGTTTTTCATTTTGCCCCCATCAATGTTTAAACCAATCCTTTCAAATTCATGACTTATTAATAAACTTAAATTAGGATGACAATACTACAGGTCTGAATTTACCGTAAATATAGGTATCAGCTTAAAATACCCATGCCTCTTCACTGGTTGCAGGGGTGACGCTCCGTCTGGGATAATAACCACAATCCGTCGGGGAAAATAACCACAATTCGTCGGAGAAAATAACCACAATTCGTCGGGGAGGAAAAAAATGTATATGTACTTTCTATGTATTAGTAGACTCAATTAAATAAGCATTTGACAACCCTAAATGGTTATATTTTTCGGGGGCTTTCGATAAATTTTGAGCAACACCTGACCATGCCCATATTTTTAAGTCAAGGACATCGTCCCCTCTCCCCCCCCCCGCCTTTTTGTCCTCCCCTTCAGTCGGGGAGATCGGACCCCTGTCGGACAAATCCAGCTGGCGCCACCTTTGACTGGTTTTTGTGTAGTGAATAGGGCTTAAAAAAAAAAGGTTCTTTGCACAAATGCTTTCCGTAATATTGGGTCGTAGTCTGGACCGTCTTAACTTGAATACACAGTCCCATCACATTAATGTTTGGTTGTAAAGTAAGATACTCGACTAACAAGTTCACACATATGTAAACCTAATAATAAACACAGACATTATATTTAACATATTTTTCTGTTAAATTAAAATCAAATTTAAAGCTAGTCAAAGAAAATCATAAACTGAAAAAAATTGTAAAAAATAACAGGGCAAAGGGAGAAACATTTTTAAAAAAATTTGTTATCACACCAAATAAAGTAAATGAAAGACCTAAGATATATTATGTCACAACCTACAGACGTGTGACGTGAAATGTACTTGTATAATAATGTAATTTTGCACTTATTTTGTTTTCAATGTGTTCGAATGTAGTGAAACGTAATGATGATTAACTTGGTGCCCCTGTGTGCAAACCAATCAATTCATACACAATACACAAAACTTGATATCACTCATTATCACGTAAGTATTTCTTCATCGTAAGAAAGTCGTATAACTATTTCGTGTGAAAATACAGTACAAACTATTTTACTATTTAAGAATTTTTTGGTCGAAATAACACGGTACCTCATCACTCTAAAAAAAAATAAAAATCCAGTGCATCTGCTGATTTTCGGTGGTAGTCTGAAAAATGATCCATTGCGTGTTGGTCATGCTGTTGTGTTCTCCAAAGAGTCGTGTCAGCCGACAACTGTCGGGAGCAGTCAGTGCCTGGCTTTAGTTTTAAGAAAACTTTGAAAGGGTATGAAAAAATCTACCTTCTAAAGTGTGTGACATCCTTGCACTTACACGAATTAATAACATGATTTATATATCTTTTTCCGAAAAAAAATGAAATAACTTGTATTCCCTATGTTAATTTAAATCCCTGTCTATTGGATTGGATTGGAATGGATTGATTGGATCAATTCGGTGTAAACACCAAGGATAGCCCACGAAAGTATAGTAGTAGGGGTCCTTATGGTGGTGATCGGGCAGTACACCGGGAGACAGTCTAATACTCTTTTCCGAAGCGTGTACTGCGTTCTTTAACGTGAAAGTGTGCCATAAGTGCTTCTTATCCGAAAGATGGTGCGCTAATTGTAACTTGCATTTCAGCCCTCCAGCCTGAAACACAAGGAGAGGCAGCGATGGGAATTGAAATGGGGGACCTAGAGATCTCCACGGTCCAGCGCACACACAATGGCCACCACCAGATTAGCCGACTGAGCTAAGCTGCTCTCGAATATCAAATTTTACTGGACAATAAATATTGTATGCCTGTATGAGGTACCTAAATATGGTCATGATGTGATGTTATCATTACCGTAAACATCTCATGTTTTTGTCAAATAAAGTTTGATAGTTTTGACCAGCCTTTAAAGTTTATAATTATAATACATTATTAATACATTATTTAGTATTGTTCAGTATAGTTACTTCTTGTTTATAATTTTAACATAATTTTTTTCTAGATTTTAATACAGTAATTTTTAAATATTAATATTATTAATATAGGCACTGATGTGAATTGTATGTACCATATTTATTTAGTTCATTTTTGGCAGTTTGCCCTGCCGCTCAAATTACTTACACTTAATATGTAAAAGTATACTAAAGACTACATAAATGATATGAAATTCCCTGATATCATAAATTTACACACTCATCTCTTTTCCAAGAATTATGTTACAACTACATTGAAACACTGGCGTATCTAGGCGGGCGTGCACGCCCCTCAAAAAAAAATACTGCGGCCTCTCCCAGTCAGCTCCCTCACCCTTGAAAATTTCCAAAAAGTATGTACTTAAAAAGCACCTCACATCACCCTATTGTACAACCTACTGCCCCTCATTTAATTACAGATCCCTCACATGATTATCGATTCCCACTCCATCTTCGTACCCCATCACCTCCAACACTGCATTGAGATAAAGTTTTCTAAAAATTATAATTTTTATTATTATTTATTTATCGTTGCGCACAAGAGAAGCAAAAACGCTGTCTCGTTCCATCAGAGCATCCGGAGTGTCAAACTCAATCATCCTGCCGGCATCCAGCACAAGAATCTTATCCGAGTTCAGGATGGTCGCAATGCGATGCTAGAAAGCAGACAAAAAAATAATGTGTTAAATAATGAAAATATAGTAGTTTATCTGAGAGTGCATCGTTAACACTTTCTAATTATGGGATGGATATATCCATACTATTGTGTATTATTGGCAATTAGTGTACATAAGATAAAATAGATAAGAATAATTAAAGATAAAAGTTATTGTCATATTCCAAATAAGTGAACTATGAAATTACAATCTTGATGGTTGATATTGCAGAGAAAGCCATTAAACTTATTAACTACAAAAATATCGATAAACACATAATATACATTTAATATACATTTAAGATTAGATACACATAGATAACATGCAAAATGAATACAAAAAAAAGTTCCATAGCACCTTTTAATTATTTGAACTATGCATGATACGTCTATAAGGCATGACGATACATGATAATTATTATACAACTAATCAGTTCGAAAATATATTCATTCTGGTTCGGTTACACGCTACCCAACAACCCCAACATAGGGGATCCCACAGGCAGGGTTGATGATATTTCCTTCTGAGTAGTACAGTGTATGGAGTTTACACAGTGCCTAGTTTTAGTTCCATCAGCAGTCTTACCTTGCAACTTATATACATAACTTGGTGGAAAATCATTGTATAAAAATATCAAATGCAATATTATATTAACTTCATTTATGGTTTTCAATTAAATTATAATGTATAAATTGTATGTTAAATTCATTTCAACTAGTTTGAAAATTCCATACAACGTGGTGTACATTTTCTAGTGTACAGATTTTATCATGATTATTAGGCGTCTTTCGTTAATTTTAACAACTAGTGGAAGATATTGATTCAACTCACAGCGATAGTAAGAACTGTCCTGTCTTTGAAGGCTGTTGCCACAACATCTTGAAGAATTGCATCCTAGCAATTTAAAAAACAAATTGTTACACAGCTCTCAATTCAATTGATTTTAATACAATATAGAAGAATAATAACAAAGTATAAAATTAGAAGAATATTACAGAGCTAAATTGTTTGATTTGAGCCAATACACATGAAAAAATAACATTTATTATTATCAGTTTTTAATCAAAAATTGAAAGAATTGTTTTAAATTCATCCCTCAAAAATTAACACTACATCAATAATACTGTTCAAATATCCTTTTGCAAAGATCCTTAAACTTGCTTGTTAGTTTATATGCTGGTATATCTTTGACACCTGTTAATAGAAATTATTACTTATTAATGTTAAATAGACTTACAGTTTGCATATCAATCGATGCTGTTGCCTCGTCCATTACCAGAATCGTGGTCTTCCTCAAGAACGCCCTCGCTAGGCAGAAGAGTTGACGCTGACCGACACTGTAATTCTCACCGCCTTCTGTAACCATTGCATCTATAGAGATACAACAAAAAGTTGAATTATAGTCCTCGAATGACAAGACCATTAAATACAGATTTTTAAATATAAACTATGGTGAATTGTTTGTTCAGCAACTGCACAATTCAGAGCAGTTAAGGGACAATAAATAGAAAACACAATCATTGCCAAAATTTGGCAAAAGCTGCAAAATTCAATGTTAATACACATGAAAAAAGCCATAATGGAAAGAAGTGGTCATGTCCTCGCAGTTCTATTCTTTTACAGATTACTGAAGGAAAGCTATTATCGCAGAACATTATTTAGAACATGAAGCAAAGATGTTTCTTGACAAATTACAGAATCAAAAGAATCTACTACATACATGAGATTAATCAAAAATGAAAGCTAAACAGAGAGAGTCTTACCAGGAATAGGCCAAGGCTACATATAAATTTAAGAATAGTCTCGTACAACAATTCTTTATATTTTAATTGTAAAATTAAAATGGAATTTTTGACAAATTATGATTATTACTTTGTACCCTTATTGTACCGAACAATCAAACGATTTTTGAAATAGTAATTGGACAATAGCATTGATCTTCTCTTTTAATAATTTGGTGTTTAATTTTTTTTTTTTATAGAATTGATAATAAAACCAACCTAGGCCTTCATCTTGTGTCGATACTACAGGTTTCAGCTGAGCAATCTCCAACGCTTGCCACAAATCTTTATCAGATTTCTCACCCTGTGGGTCAAGATTGTACCTGCAAAAATGTAAAATAAACAAAAATAAATAAATGTTTTGCTTTTTACACAGTCATACCTAAATTTGGCTGAAATAATTATGACATTATGACATAATTTAGTCAAAGAATAATATATTAAAACATTGCTTTTATATCATAATTATCATGAAACATAAAAATGTTAAAAACTTGCACAGTTATAGTTAATTAGTGGTTGTAGAAGCAGTTGGTACTTTGGCTGTGGCTTCGACTCCCAACCATGAAATCAGGGGTTTAAAAATCTCGCTGTGCAAGACTATTGAGTCACTAGGCTAGGCACTTTATCTCTCATGTTTGTCTATCTCTAAATAGGTACATTATATGATGTTGTGTCATTGATTGTACTAGTTTCGTGCGCTGAGTACACAGGTAGCCAAGAAGGCTGGTGGCACTTTGTGCTAGGTTTTTGTTGTATCCAGTGACCAGGAGTATAACGCTCAGGGCCTTTGAATATTGATTTGGAATTGGTGCAATATAAATATTTGGCAATATTATTATCATTTTTGTAGTTTCAAGTGCACATGACCATGTCAAAGGTTGTTTGCATTACGGCGTTCTGCAAAGCCAACCTGAATTTCCATGACTATACAGTTGTATTCTATACTGTATACTGCCCTATTACCATTAGAAAGACCAAACCAGAAGTCTTCAAATTTCCATGGGATATTCTCTGTCTCTTATACACATCTAGATGTGTATAAGAGACAGGCGTTGTATGGAATTTTCAAAAACCTGTCTCTTATACACATCTAGATGTGTATAAGAGACAGATGACACGACCTCTGAATGTGTCAATGACTCTGAAGAGAGCAAGGGTCAGCGAAGACTTGCCGCTGCCAGTTCGTCCACAAATACCAACCTACAAAACAATTTGAACTGTTAATAAACTATCAGATTTCTGTCAAACTCAACAGATATTATTTGTCAGACTTAGATGGATCCAAGTATAGAAGGACACATACTATATTTGATAAGATATGTCTGAAATACTGTAAAGCACACAAAAGAAGAAGTGCACTGTGTACACGAAAGCTAGTGGTTTGTCAATGAAACTATTCTTGAAAGTACTACATGACAAAAAGACTGGAAAATAACTCAAAAATTCATAGACAATTTTGAATTTCATTTATAAGAATCAAATAAATTGTTAGCTTCAAAAGGGCAAAAGATTTTTTGTATTTTTAAATAGTTTTCACCGACATTTTACAACAAAAATCCTTAAATTTATACCAGCCAAATTAAGGATAAAAAAAAACAACAAAAAAAAAAGGAAAGCTATTATGTAACTGAACGAAAATTGAAGGGAATTTTTTTTTCACTATAATTTTAAAATAATTTATTTTATAACACAAATTAAGCAATTCAAAGGTGGAAATAATTATTGCTATTTCTTTTACCTCATGACTAGTAGTACTTCTTTAACATATTTTGAATAACTTTTTTTTTTGGTATAATAAACAGCTTTATATAATTTCTGACTTGTGAAGTTTCAATAATAATATATTTTAACTGTTCTCCAATATGCTAGCATGATTGTGCTACAAATATGAGGAATTTCATATATACAAATATATAATTAATTTGTTTTATACTACAAATTATAAATTTTTTGTTGCTGGTACCAGGTAACCGGGAAGCACAGGCATGAAGGGACCCTTAGGGTGAAGGAAGTCATTGATCGAGTCCATATATCAAGCGCCCTGAGCATCATATGTTAGATGGATTTGACGCTATATAAATCTATATATATTTAAAAAAAAAAAATTAAGTACTGACCTTTTCTCCAGCACATAAAGTTACAGACACATCATGAAGGACGGGATCAAGATCTGCGGCGTATCTTACGGAGATGTCATCAAGCACGATTTCACCCTTGTTTGGCCAGTCTAGCGGCGGATCTCTTACTCCTGTAAATAATACTACATTTAATGTTTTATAAAATATTTAAAAAAAAAAAAAATCATAGTTTTAAGCCTAGGATAACAAAAATATAAAATAACTGATTTAGTATGTGCATTCTGGTGAGTGTAGGCTACATTCATGTTCATCCTTGCCATGAAGCAAAGATTTGGTACATCCACTCTGTGTGTTTGCCTGGACTGAGCAAAAAAATATTCTTCATGGTGTAAACAAAAGCTCTGTTTGAGGTTCTTGCAAACAAGTAGTAGAATATAACAGCACACCATATTACATTAATAGCGATCGGAAATGAAGATGATGATCGCCATACGTTGATGCCATCTCCATTCTCCGTGAGAGCCTGATAACGTAATGTTGCCTGCTGATTGCTAGTGAATTGTTAAAATAATCGGCAGTGTGGGTCCATGGTTTTGCGTCCTCTATAAAATCATGTTGGTGCTGTGAGTAAATGGCCTTTCATAAACAAGATGCTGATTTATATGCACCAGACATACAAGTTTAGGATTGAAAAACATATATGTAGGTCTCACCACGAAATGAGACGCATTTCGGGTGAAATCATATTGAGATATTCACCAAAAAGTCAAAAACTTTTACAATTTTTTTTTTTTAAATAACATTACTTATATTTTATGATTGTATATTTTTTAACTGAATTTTCTAAATAAAACAGTGTTCTCTGCACATATTCTGTAATTTTAGTACTACTATTTGTAAAGGTTATAATTTATCTTTTTAAAAACATGGTTTCTTATACACCTAAACTTTAAACGCTCACATCTCTGGATTTATAGAAGCCATTCGAAGACCACATGAAAGCTCACAATGTGATTTAAACAAATATGACATAACTTTTTTTTTAAATTTTCTAACCATGATACTTATTTTGTGGTGAGAACTCACATATAAGAAAAACAAATATTAAAAAAAAATTACCATCATATTTTTCCATGATTAGGTCGCTATAGTAATGAACCCTTTCTACGGAGTTCATACTCATCTCAACAGCAGCTGCCATTCTTACCAACCAATTTAACTGACCAGCCATCTAAACAAATAACAAATATATATATATATGTATATATATATCTACAGATGAAGATTATCTGTGTAGAGTATGATAAATGAGAACAATAAAATGTGATTGTTGAAATTGTAAACATGAAAGAAAACAATTTGATAATGTTATACTGTTTAGTGTAGAAATTCCCAATAAGCCTATTGTGCATAAAAGTTTGAACTTGCTATTATAAGTTGTATGCTATATTTTTTTTAGTATGTGCGTTTGGATTTTATGCGCCACTTACTTTTATATTTCTATACTTATATAATTGACTTGAAAATTAGTATCACAGTTGAAGTTGCCTGTCAAATCCAAAATGGCATTGAAAAACTGTTTGATTTAGATAAAATTTGACTAGCAGATGGTTATAATAGAAATCACAACAATTTGGCATGTAAAATAAGATCGACTTTTAGGCAAATTCGACCTAAGAAAGTTTAACTGTATACACAAATTATCCCCACCAATTAAATTAAGTAAGTAAGTTTTGATTAAAGAAAATGATCTTATATAAAGCTTATAATGTGGAGAACATGAATATATAAGACAGTCAATTTTCTTATTTAGTTGACTGATACTAATTTTGCCATATGGCAAGTCGTAAATTAGCAGCTGTACTGTACTATAGTTGTACATAGGTACAATAAAAAAATAACACTTACAGAAAGAGCATACATGATAGACAGTCCAATAAGGCCGGCATTGTTACCAGTCGTCATAGATGTCAAGCCGGCCAACAGAACAACAAACGCACCAATGATGTCCTAATATTAACAATATAAAACATTAATGCAATATTCTATTTCTGAAACTAGAAATTGCAAATTGCAAGTGAAGTGCTGCAAAGTACAACTGCATATAAATGTTCTTCGAACAAAATTATTTATGCGAGTCAAGTGAAAATAATGAATAATAAAAATATAACAAATATTATGAGACACGACAAATTGTCTATATTAGAACACTTCTCATTGGGTAACAAAGTCGTAATTTTTCATTTTTGTCAAAAAGTGTCTATAGTGGTGAATTATGGTTTAGGTTGTTTTTACTAAAGTTTCAAAATGTATGTGGAAAATTTAGTTGATTACCAAAGGTTACAATTTTTATTTTGAAGACTGCATGGTCTAGGAAGTGTATATTTTTTTATGGGGCAAGTTTCCAAGGGCGGG